CTATAACCCTGTTGTCCAGGTGACTGTAACTCGGTTGTTGTTATGATGATTTGTGATTCATTCATGAATGGTTAAATCATCATCTGTATGTGGACAGAGAACAAGGATAAGAAATGTGTTATTGGTGTCACAAGTGAGTAACAGAACTTCAGTGTGCCAAGATAGATTGGGGGCCACTGTTGCTAATCTTAGGATGGGTGCGTGATGGAATGGCCTGGCTAGGGTGCCACATGATACCAAGTAGGCAATGATGGCTAGCAACTGTGTAAGATAAGAATAGATTGGAAGTGCATTATATAAGCTGAGAGATGTTGTATGGAAGTCATTCAGATGGCAGGAGGCTATGTCCATACCCCCTATCATTGAATCCAATATTGTGACCATCAAATAATGACTGAATCCAATCTCCATCTGTGTAACCTACTCTCTTGCATCCTGAACTTCTCAATACCAGAAACTCATCATAGCAGATTGGTGTCTAAACGAACAGGATGCAGTTCACAGCCGAACTAACAGGGAAGCAGACTTGATGCAGTTCACAGCCGAACTAACAGGGAAGCAGACTTGATGCAGTTCACAGCCGAACTAACAGGGAAGCAGACAGCCGAACTAACAGGTAAGCAGACAGCCGAACTAACAGGGAAGCAGACAGCCGAACTAACAGGGAAGCAGACAGCCGAACTAACAGGGAAGCAGACTTGATGCAGTTCACAGCCGAACTAACAGGGAAGCAGACTTGATGCAGTTCACAGCCGAACTAACAGGGAAGCAGACTTGATGCAGTTCACAGCCGAACTAACAGGGAAGCAGACTTGATGCAGTTCACAGCCGAACTAACAGGGAAGCAGACTTGATGCAGTTCACAGCCGAACTAACAGGGAAGCAGACTTGATTATGTCAAACTCTGCTTACCTGTGGTAAAGCTAAGCTGTAACGAACATTAAAAAAAATATATATATTTTAAAGGGGGACGATGAGTGGTGTTGAGGTGTATAATGGATATAAGTAGAGGGTGTTGAGGTGTATAATGGATATAAGTAGAGGGATCAAATTAGACAATAACAGGGTGCTATGATTCTGAGCAGGATTAGATCAGATCAGAGTAATGACTAAAAACAAAGGAGGAGAAGGAGAGTGGGTTTAACAGGATTGGGTTTAGGGTCTTTTAATGTGTATGACATTATAAAATAGGTCAGAGGTTCGAGTCCTCAACATGACGAGATTATAAAGGGTATGACATTATATAATAGGTTTGAGTCCAATAAAGTCAAAAGAAACATTATAAAATAGGTCAGAGGTTCGAGTCCTCAAAATGACGAGATTATAAGGTGTGATAAATAGGTTCAAGTCCTGTGATGAAAGAATAAACATTGTTCAGAGGTTCGAGTCCTCAAGGAAACAGAATAAAGAGATAGATGTGAAAAGGTTCAAGGCCTCAACCGTGTTATAAAAGCCCTATGAGAGAATTAGTCCCTTGTAAATTACTCAAAATGGCCAGGAGAGGGAGCAGTAACATGTTGAATCATAGCACCAAAGACAAAATAGGCAAATTACATTTTAATACAGATCAAGATTGAGATTTGATTTAAGTATTTGATTACTAATATTGCATGAACTAATAGTAGTAATGAATGGCCAGTTTAGTAGACCGGTATCTGGAAAAACAGTCACCATTAAGAGTAAAGCAGAGCTTCATTTAACTCGAAGAGAGAGACTGGAAATGACGGAATTATTACAGACAAATCTGCATTTAGAACAAGTCTCTTGTAAAAGTAATATAAATCAAATAATTTGCAAATGGATGTTAAGTAAATTAGGATTTTTCTATGTGGAACCATATCTTAGTGAATTATCAGCATGGACAGATAATGAGTATCCTCAAGACTGTAGTTTTAAAAGGGATCAATTACAGGTATAATGGATAATAGAGCCATAAGAACCCGAAATGGGATTTAGATTATATGAAAGAGGTGTATCAATTATGGGATTTAGATTATTTGAAAGAGGTGTATCAATTATGGGACTTAATGTGTTTACAATGGCTGGTAAATATAATAAGGAAGGAGGAAAAGTCAGTTATGATATTAGGTCATTTGGCAATGGAGCAACATAATCTACCTTTATGAAAAGAGTCAGTCCACGTGGGCTATTCCCTAAACTCAGGTCAACATACATGTTTCCTATAGTTAAAATAGATAACTTTGAGATCAAACGGTGGCGCGAGGAATGCATGGCATTGTGGTTACAAAGGTTTGGTAGAGCTTTTGAACCGGCAGAAAGAAAGTTTAGAGGTCATACAGGACGAATAAACATTGAAATAATTAGATCTACTAGAGAGCAAGGAATATAAAATGATATTTACAATAATCAACCAGAACCAAAAGGTTGATTTAAACAATAGATTAGCAAATACAATTATGGAATTTCTTCGTTGAAACAAGGGAACCGTAATACTCGAGGGAGGTAGAGAGAGGAAATTGGACTCCTGCCCAACCGCACCCTAACTCCCAGAATAAACCTAGAGAGGTTGAAGGTGTCCTTTAAGTAAACAGGAAGTCCAGAATTAGTGGAACTATGCAAAGTGATCATATATCTCTCCCATTACAAATTGATTA